AAAAATTAAAAAAATAATAATAAGGGGAAGAAAAATCAATTTTTTCCTCTGTCTTGTCAGTTTGTTTGTTTGTCAAAGTGGTTAATTACTTTTGCATGTTGACATCATGTAGAATTTGGCAAATCCAACTGCATTGCTACTAAGTGCTGTCACAATGTTGCGCCACTTGGAGCTCTATGACAAGGCTGATAGGATCCAAGATGCTATACTCAATACAATCGCAGAAGGGAAGTACCGAACTGCCGACCTTGGTGGCACTGCTACAACAACCGATTTCACAAAGGCCATTTGTGATCACCTCTAAATTTTGTTCCCATGTGTATTTTCCCATTGTGTTGGATTCTATTAAATTTGTTGACTGTGATTTTCACCTTGGGTTAAATATTTATTTTCTCTTAAAAGGGAAAAAAATAAGTTTCATAACCTTGACAAATATGAAGTTTTTCTTCAGGTCTTTCTGAATATAAGATATCTCTTGAAATCCAGGCTTTGTCATTGTTACTCGTGCTTCTTGACCTTGGAGTGGCTTTTTATCTTATGTTTGGATTGAAGTGAATGGAGAGAAAGAGAAGGGAGGAGAATTTTTCTCTCCATTTTCTTCCTTTCATTTGGATAAGTAATAAAATAAAATAAATTTTTCCTCTCCCCTTTTCTTCAATATTTTTGAGAACCAAATAGAAAATTTTTTTTTCCTTCCCTAAATCTAAACATACCATTACTAAGAAGAAAATGAGTCTTATGAAGAAAATGAGTCTCCTGACAATATTAAATAAAGTGCATAGGAATGCAGTACTTTCTTCTGTCCTTGTTGCCTTTAGTTCTTGAATCTGGACCACCATGATAGCCTTAGTTTTATTTTCAAGTATTTCATATATACAGTTGTTTTATATTTAATTGTAATATTATTTACATCATCATTGAAATAAAAAATGTTATTTGCACTAGTGCTATATCCCATAAATTCAGCTGGCAGGTGACCTTGAGTAGGGGTGGGCATTCAGGTGGGTAACCCTTATTTGGAAACCGAACCAAAAAAATGAATTCGATTTAGTTTCAATGGTTTTTGAGTTTTACTGTTTCGGTTTTAATATTAATTGAATAAATTTTAATTTGGTTTTAATTGAATCTTTCACAAATTAAAAACTGAAAATAAGCCTTTGAAAATCAAAATTTGAATAAATATGACAAAAAATGATAAAATATGAGATAAAATATAATTTATTATTGAAAAAAAAATTGATTAATATTTATTTAATAAAAATCGAAACCAAACCAATTTTATTAATAACCAAACTGATCAGTTTGTGAAAACTTCGATTCGATTTTGATTCTCAAAATTGAGGAAAAAAATTTTCAATTATTTTAAAACCGGTTTTTGCCCACCCCTAACCTTCAGATCTCTATCACTCACTCAGTGCAGTCGTTACTTCTTGCCAAAAAATAGCTACTACCACCGACTAAACATAATCTTAGGTTTAGGCCATAAATTATTAATCCATTTAGACCATTAACTCATTTCTTCTGTTTTGGGCCATAAATTATTACTCTTTTGGGTCTTCAACATGCTAGAGGAAACACCAAAAACAGGCATAAAATATATGGCAGAAGATGAAGAAAAAGAGCGTGAAAGCCCAGGTGATTGCATAAACATGTCTTCCCTTATGAGCCCAAGATCATTTTGGTCATTTGCCTACCTTACCTACCACCATAGAAAGCGAAGAAAATGGGAGCCAATCACAAATTTGGGTTTGGTAAGGTACATTTCCATTTTTAAAAAATGAGAGATAGGGTTGGTAACAGGAGAGTTGGTAGTGGTTATTGTTATCATTGATATTATTAACATTTTATATTTTTAGGTAATATTTTAAAATATTATTTTATTTATTAATTTTAATTTATTAATTAAAAATATTAAATATTTTATTAATTATTAATTATAGTTGTTAAATTTTTTATTAATTAAATTCAATAAAATTAATTTTTAAAAAAGAACATTTTAATAGTCATAATTGTGACAAAAAAAAAATGTTTCTTCAGTATTGACTATTCTCCATTAATAATAAGGTAGTTAATAAGGATTTTTTAGAGATACTACAAAAAAAGATAACTTTTTAAAAATTCGTTAATCTTAACTTAAATGACCTCCTCATCATACGGCTGAAAGAAGCAAAAATTCTCTAATTTCAACTTAAATGGGCATCACTTCGGTATAGAGTAATAATAAAAAGAATGAAAATTTAAAATAAAAATTTAGAATTAATAATATAACATATATTATACTATTAAATTAATTAATGTATAATATTATAAATTAAAAAAAATAATTATTTTTTTGAACAAAGTTACAATTTTAGAAAGGATATCGAATCTCAACCCTTAAACTGAAAGATACACTTTACAAATTGACTTATTTTTATTGGGTTATAAGAACAAAGTGTTAAAAAATAATAATAATAATAATTATTATTATTATTAAATAATATAAAATTTAAATTTAATATTACGGCGTTAATTTTAAATTTTAATTTTAATTTTTGATGTATTTTTCATTATTCCTTCATATATAATTGAAAAGGTGGAAATTGGGCCGGAATAGTGGAATACTCTGACAATTAAAAAAAGGGAAAAGATAGGGTTGGTGAGATTTACCCACTTTCACTTATGCGCGCACCTATATGCTATAATTATAAGCCTACTCCTAAAGCATCATCCCATCTCGCATATCCAAGATCCGAATCTCATTCTCCGATCGACGTTCTCACCAGATCTCTTTACCTGATCTAACCCCCACCGCACACACCATGGCCTTCGAACGAATTCTCTTGGGGATGGGCAATCCTCTCCTCGACATTTCAGCTGTTGTGGACCAAGACTTTTTGGACAGGTATGTTTTAGTATCTTTTCTTATCTGTTTAGATCCTTCGATTTCGTCTCATTCCTTGTGATCTTTTGTTGTACCCCTCAATTTCTGATAGTTTTGATTTTGTTCCTGCAGATATGACGTCAAGTTGAACAACGCGATCCTCGCGGAGGACAAGCACTTACCAATGTAAGCTACTCTCTGTTCTGTTCCAACATCCATGTTTTTTGCATTTCAGACAGATCTGTTCTACCTGCAATTTTGTGTCTGGAAATTTAGTTATTAGATGAAATAGCTTTGGAAAAGATTTGGTGGATTGTTTAATGCTAGATTTAGTTGATATGGTTGTTTATCCATAGCAAATGCCTCCTCCTGATGTTTTCGATGGAGGAATAATTGCTGTAAAATTTACAGTATTCATCTATTTGAAGAAATTCAAGTCGTATACTATGTATTTTGGAAGATTGAGTTTCATGTATGGTTTTCATTGTTAGTTTGGCTGTGGGTTTTCTTGTTTGGTGGATCTTGTGGTAACACTGAATGTGTGTTCATCTTAGGTATGAAGAAATGGCTTCCATGTATAATGTGGATTACATTGCTGGAGGTAAGAAATCGATTGCTTCAGTGTCTGATTCTGAAGGAAATAGTTGGATCTGAATTTTCCACCAGTACATGGTGATTAGTAATTACTAATCAGTGATGCTTGGTGCCCCATAATTTAATATGTGCAGGTGCTACCCAAAATTCAATCAGAGTTGCACAGGTATTTTTTATGGTTCTTTCTTCAGATTGCCCTTTGGAATCTTCACTCAGCATACTTTTTACCATTGTGTTTCTCTTTGGTTTTCGTCCAGTGGATGCTTCAAATTCCTGGTGCAACAGGATACATGGGCTGCATTGGAAAGGACAAGTTTGGAGAGGAAATGAAGAAGAACTCAAAAGCTGCTGGCATTAACGTAATCTCTTTTTCCAATCCCCTATTTTGCATGTTTTCTATCTGCATATGCTGAAAAATGGAGAGAATTCTGCTCATATGGTGCCTTGCCCTTTTTTTGGATGCTTGTTTATTTTGAATTGCATTTTCTATTTGTTTATGTTTGAAGCTGAAAAGAGTTATATTTTGATACTGACGTCAGGTTCAATATCTTGAGGATGAGACTACACCAACAGGAACTTGCGCTGTTTGTGTTGTTGGTGGCGAAAGGTCAGTCTGAAAATGGGCTTGCTTTGATATTTCTTTTCATTATTCCAAAGTGCCGTTATACATCCCTGCCTAGTTTTCAGTCTATTATTGATAACTTCTCAAAAAATTTACCTAGTTGGAGTTGCAAGACTAAATGTTAAATCCATGTTTAGGTCACTTATTGCGAATCTGTCAGCTGCAAATTGCTACAAATCTGAGCATTTGAAGAGACCAGAGAATTGGGTATTAGGTATTATTCTGTTTTTTCTTTTCCTGGCTTTGCTTTTATTTCCTTCTTTGTGTCTAAGTATGCATTTAAAGAAACAGAGTTGGTGAGGTCTCATTTGTATTATTGAAATAACCTAGTTGACTTCTTCACATCATATATACATTTCTTGGGACTGACTTGTTTGTAAAATCATGCTTTACAGTTGAGAAGGCCAAATACTTTTATATTGCTGGCTTTTTCCTCACTGTATCGCCAGATTCCATACAGCTTGTTGCTGAACATGCAGCTGCAAACAACAAGGTATGTCATGTAGCACTTAACTGGAGACTCTGTTTCTATTCTCTAGCTTCTGTGTAAAAGTAGCCTGACATATTTATTGTCTGCAGGTCTTTATGATGAATCTTTCTGCTCCATTTATTTGTGAGTTCTTCAAGGATGCACAGGAGAAAGCTCTTCCGTAAGCATCTTGTTATTTTCTCTTGCAAAGGAATTGATATTTACATGTGGAAAGAATTGAATGTCCATTCTGTGACTCAGGTATATGGACTATGTCTTTGGCAATGAGACAGAGGCAAGAACCTTCTCAAAAGTTCATGGCTGGGAGGTAAGAGTTGTTAAACATCAGATCTTATGATGGATGGTTTCATATCAAAGTTGACCTATTTTGAGCTGCATTTGCTTTTCAGACTGATAATGTTGAAGAGATAGCTTTGAAGATTTCCCAGTGGCCAAAAGCATCTGGAACACACAAGAGAATCACTGTTATCACTCAGGGGGCAGACCCAGTGGTTGTTGCTGAAGATGGGAAAGTAAGGAAATTCCCTGTAATATTGCTACCAAAGGAAAAGCTTGTTGATACAAATGGAGCAGGTATGTCTTCCTTTTGCTTTTAAGAGATTTGATTTAAATGCTGAAATAGGCCAACATACACCATATGCATGCTGAAACAGAAAGGGGGTTGGACTGGGGAATGGGAAGGTATAAGAAGAACCAGTCATGATTAAGTGTCACAGCATCTACCTTTGATCCCACTATATGTGTTTCAGTAGGCCAAAAACACCATCAAACCCCCTAAAGAGAATCATTGTTAACATCTTTATATTTTCTCTGCAGGTGATGCATTTGTCGGAGGATTTCTTTCCCAGCTGGTTCAGGAGAAGCCCATTGAAGATTGTGTGAGAGCCGGTTGTTATGCAGCCAATGTTATCATCCAAAGGTCTGGCTGCACATACCCAGAAAAGCCTGATTTCAACTAAGCCACTCCCTGATTGGTCCCTCGTGTTATTTTCAAAATTTTGGTTGTCAAGTACCGTTTGATTTGATCTCCTTTCTATGGTTATATTTTTTTTTTGGAACAAATACGCAAGGGACCAGATTCGAACTCGAACCGTTGCTCTGGGAGTGGAGGAATGCACTTATAGGTGGCCTGACGCCACTGGCCCAAAGGCCCAAGTGCCCCTTCTATGCTTATTATTTGCTGATTATTGCTATGGCAGTTTGCATTAGCCAAAGAAAACTGTTATATGTGGTGACTATAATTTGATCTCAATGGTGGAGAAACTCAATTATTTACCTTCTAGTATTTTCCGATCTTACCTTAAAAACCATTTCTGTTGCAGGATGCTTAATCTTAATATAGTTAATATGTTGTGTAATAATACCAGAAGATAAAATCTTGCTTTCTAGGTAGAATATCGGTGAAACATCATCACGTTATATTCTAAAAAATATTAGTAAAAATACATTATTCTTTTAGGCTATAGCACAACAGTTTTTTATTTTTATATAAGGGTAATGGTTAATAAGTTAATATTGTCAGATATTAATAATTAGGGGTTGAATCTTCAGATTAAATAAATAGTTCACTGATCTCAATGAGTGATGACCGCTTGGTGGAGTTCAGCACAATAGTTTTTAAGTACTCATGTTTTTGTGATAACTCTTATCGGTTCATTGTTCTCAAGTATATGATTGTAGATTTTCAAAAGAAAAAAGAAGAAAGAATTTATTATTT